GAGACGGGTAGCAAATCGGTGATTTGCCAATATTAAGGACAACATGGCCCTCTGGCGTGGTAATGCCGGAATGTGCAAATCAAGGGACCACACTGTCTGATGTTAGCGTTTCTTAGGGCTATAATTCGCATTTACATGCCTTATAATTGACTTTCTAGTGTGGAAATCAAGGCAGAAGTACGATGAGTAATTTTGCAAAGCCATGAAGAATGATATATTGCAGAAGCCTAAGGGTATTTTCTATATCACCTCGTTGAATTCAACCTACACCTTTGACCATGTATCGTCCATAGATTTCGATGTCCTCGTTTGTGTGATCTGTTGCCTTTTCACGTGTTCAGCACTGATGATCTGCCGTTAACGATTGCCAGCGCTGATGGTGAGGTATAGGTGAATCAGTCCTGGTTGAATCAATGTTTGTGATGTGCGGTAAGTATTCAAAATTTAGAAAATCCAATTGTCATAAAGATACGACCGTTAGTCTGACGTTTCCTTGATTTATCACTTTTAAAAGGTGAATAGAAATGGGAGTTTCAACTGGGTTCGAACTCAACGTTATCATGTTTCAAATGCACTTGCTTAGTGGACCATTCGTGACAAACTTTCGCACTAAGTAAGGAATCAAAACAAATTACTTGTTTGCACATCCGTGGTATTCGACCAAGCATACGTGTCATTCTTCTGCTGGACGAAATACTGAAGACTGACTGACTTTGAGCACAATATCAGCGATTACACCATTTTCCAGGAGTTCACCAAGCGATCTATTAGCTCATTTACTCTACTAAGCCTCCTGAAGAATCCACTGTATGTTGACAGCATAAAAAATGTTCACCTCACATAAATATTAGACGAGTTCAGAGGTAGAAATTTGGAGTGGTTCCATCATCTGGATCACGCGAATGGTGAAAAATCGGTGGCTTGCGAATTACTTGACAGAGCAAACTAAACGGAGACCTGTTGTCAATGCGACATCTTTGCTTCTTCGACCCATTAAATACCTCAAGTATCTTAAGAATCTTAGGCAGCCTGCATGTTTTGCGATGCGGTGATGATGCTGATTACAAACAACAGCAGTGAAGGTATGTATGTATAGTTGCTTTTACATTAGACTAATAGGCACAGCTGCCTCAAAAGCATTTTTCAATGATCGCAGTGTTTCGCAGATTAGAAGGCATCAGAGAATGGATTCTAAAGTTTGACTCGAAGGTAATCGTAGTTCATAATTGAATCATTCAGCCCCCCCCCCTCCCCCCGGTTTGCCGTGAACCTTGGCGAAGTTCATTACTTTTGAGTGTCACAAATCAGCACGGCCTCGTAATCCAAGCATAACCACACAATTCACGCAACCAGTCGACGTAGAAACACATAAAGGATCAGATTTATGCATTGATGCGCTGAATGCTATACGTTGTAAAGTAACAGTTGCATAAATGGCATAAGTCGCTAAAAATATTGCAAGCCGGTTAATAATGCTTACTAATATATTTCACATAGTCATGCCATATTATAGCCATACTTTCAATGCTGGTGCAAAATCTCAGAATGAATACGAGCTCAGAAATATGAACAGTTTGTTGGACTGCAACAGAAATTAAATGAAAATAAATTGTATTTTATGTTTTGCGGATTATCGCAGTATATATTCAATTCTCGTGTGAGTCACAGCGAATTCCAGCCGAGAAGGCTCTCATACCAGACATTATGACCGTGTTCCTCTTATTTTCTGGTATGAGTATGACCGCACCACAATGTTATGCTGACCTCATCATTCGGAATTCAACGACTTGCTACGCTTTATCTCAGCTGGTAGCAGTGAAGTACAGTGGGATGAATTTTTTACAGTTGGAATCGGGGTCCTGAACCTTCGAAGTTCAAAGCAGACCTCTAAACCACTAACACCATTATCACAAATTTCGCTACTCCGTTGAAGT